ACACACACACACACACACACTCTCTCTCTCTCTCTCTCTCTCTCTCTCTCTCTCTCTCTCTCTCTCTCTCTCTCTCCACGATGCTGGGAGGTGGAGGACTCCTGTCCCATGTGGTTCCCTTGTGGGGTGGACATGAGCTGCTTGGACCATGTCCTAGATCTCGGTGGTTTATGGGTGGATCCCAGCTAGATCCTGTCTTCTGCTTGGGAGATGGGAGAATTCCTGTCCCAGATAGTGCCTCCAGAGGGCCGATGAGACACTTACACTATATGCTCCATCCTCATCTGCAGGAGTTAGGGGAGTGCCTGACCTATGTCTTGTTGCCAGGGGGATGAGATGCTAAGCCAATGTGATGTGCTGGATCTGGGAAGGGAGGGGGTTGTCAAAGAAATCCCAGCCTGGCTCTCTACCCGAACCTCCTTCCAGATACATATGCTCTGGTAGCTCTTTGGTGTTCCTGGTACATTGTCTGCTGCTATGGCAGTAGCCTGGGCGAGGCTATTTAGAATGTTCAGTGATTTAGGCAGGCTGCTAGAATTGTCTTGCTGAAGGGAAATGGTCATTTATAACACTTTGGAATTTAATGGTAGAAAGAAACGTCACTTGTAGCATGAAGAGTTTCTCCCCATTGAATATCAAAGGCCTGTTGCAAACTATAGGGGTATTCATGCTTCTCAAAGAAAAGATCCTAAGAATCTTTTATAATTTAAAGTGTTAGGCAACCTAAGTATAGGGGTCACTACCATCACCCCCTATATTTGTGCATATACAGTAACTCCTCACTTAACATTGTAGTTATGTTCCTGAAAAATGCAACTTTAAGTGACCTCCCCTCAGCCTCCTGAACACCACGTCCTCACTCCTCCCCACAGCCTCCTGAAAGCAGCAAACCAGCTGATTGCCGTGGGTAGGAGGGAGGGGGAGGCTGCGCGCTGCGTCCTCGCTCCTCCCCTCAGCCTCCTGAACGCCGCAAGACAGCTGATTGCCGCGGGCAGGAGGTGGGGGGGAACAGGGGAAAGGCATTGATCCGCAGGGTACGCCAGTGGGTGGGAGGCGCTGGGGGTGGCGTGGCATGGGGGAGCTGATGGGGGGCTGCCAGCCGTGGACAAAGCATATATATATATAACGATGTTATAGCGGAACATTGTACAACTTTAAACGTGCATGTTCTGTAATGGAGCCGGGATGTAAGATCGAGAGGATGTTAAGTGGGGAGTTACTGTACTTTTAAAAGATGAAATCTTGGCCCTGTTGAAGTCAATGAAAGTTTTGCCTTTTACTTCAATAGGGCCAGTGTAACCCACACGCCTCCTAGGTGTGGTATTCTGTCACATCTAGTGGCACTGAGACCCCTTAGGCCTGGGCTACACTAGCGGGGGGATTCGAACTAAGATATGCAACTTCAGCTACGCGAATAGTATCTTAGTTCAACTTACCTGGCCATCCTCACAGCGGTGAGTCGACTGCCGCAGCTCCCCCGTCGACTCCGTTTACTCCTCCTGCCGAGGTGGAGTACAGGCGTCGATTCGCGGATCTATTTATCGCGTCCAGACGAGATGCAATAAATCGATCCCCGATACATCGAACACTACCCGCCAATCCAGCGGGTAGTATAGACATACCCTTAGAGAGATAAAATGAGTCTGCTCTAGAACCTTAGCTAAGAGCCAGTTGGTTTTGAGATTAGTATTTTAATATTTCTGTTGAGTACTTCCACAGCTGCATAGTTGAAAATCCATGCAATTTAGGAATGCCACAATGCGGGCAGGAACCGTCTGTGTTCTGTGTTTGCACAACACCTGGCATAATGGGGTCCTTGTCCAGGACTAGGGTTCCTAGATACTACAGTAATATAAATAAATAAATAATAAATAGCAGAAAAATCACATCTTCTTTAATTACTTTGGATATTATTTACGTTTGTTGTTGTAAACAATACTATTACTTTAATCTTAGCAGAAGTTTTGTACCATGCATGTACCAACCTAATTTTTCAGTTCCTTTCATTATTTTAATTATAGTTTTGCTGCTTATCCTGAGACTAGTCCCCAGTGAGACTAATCAAGCTGAAAAGTTT